CGCCGTCCCCCCGCGCTGGCAAGCGCCGTGGCCTCCCCGGGGCCGCAGTTGCCATCCTGGCCGGGTGCCCGGCTTCGTGCTGCGCTGGCAAGGGACAGCTGGGGCGGCAGATGCCCACGGTGCTCCCTCCCGCCCGTGGCCGCGGGAGGGAGAGAACAGACGCCGGCAAGCCCCCGGTGTGCCCCTACACCCCCGATTAGGGTTGGCACTGCCAGCTGGGGCATGGGGATGGTTCCCTGTCACACTGGCTCCTACACGGGGGTTTTGGCCAGTCCTGGGGAAGGGCTCGAAAACTGCTGCCTCAGCCCTGCGTGGTGGTGGTGGCGCAGGGGCTGGTTTTGGGGGACCATCAGACTTCGGGGCGGGGAGGCTGGCTGTGCTGTGAAGCTCTGTCTGCCACGGGGCTGGAATTGGTGGGGCAGCAAGATAGTGGCAGTATATGTCCCTTTCCCTGTCCCTGTCCCTTTTCCTTTCCCTTTCTCTCCACCTTAATTTCTTCCTTCCTTTCTCCCTCCCTCCCTTCCTTTCTGTCCTTTCCCTCTCCCATCCGTCTCTCCACTCTCCCACCCCCTCCCTGCAGCTGTGCTCCTAGCCCAGGTACCCCCAGCCCAGGGCGCAGGAGTTGGATGCCAGCACCCCGCAGGGGAAAGTCCCGGGGAAGGGTGGGCTCAGCCTTCCCTTTGTCTGTCCCGCTCTCCCCATCCCTTTCCCTGCTGCCATCTGTCCCCGCTCGCCTCCGCGGACGCCGGCAGCCCTGGATGGAGCCCAGGCCTGGCAGGGCTGAGCGAGGGGGCGGCCGCGCCGCCCTCCTGGGGGGTTCCCCCCGGCCGCTGCCATCTCCCCGTGCCGGCCGGGGTCGGCCGAGGACAAACCCGCTCGCTCCCAGCGCCGCTCGCTCGCAGCCGCCGGCCAAGGCGCTCGCGCCTCCCCGGCTCCCGCCCGGGCCAGCTGGCCGCGGCCGGCGTACGTGGCAGCGGGGCGCGTCCGTCCCCCCCGCCACCGCCCCGCCGCCTCGGGGGATGCCTCCGGCCAGGACCTCCCCGGGGCTCCGCTCGGCAGGGGGAGGAGAAGCTGCCGCCCCCGCAGCGCTGGTGGCCCAGGCCCAGCGGAGCCGCCTCGCCCCGCGGCCCCGCAGCGCTCCGGGCATGGCGGGGCGTTGGGAGGAGCGGGGAGGGGGGTCCCGCGCCCCGGCGCGCCGGCCGGCCCGGCTCAGCCAGGATTTACCCGGCACACGCGGCGGTTCAGGGTATTATATAAAGGAGGTTACACAAGCAGGACTGTTCCGGGTTTATGTAAGGGCCACCCCAGCCCGGCGGCAGAGGGATGGACAGTGGGACGGGCAGCGGGACGTGCGGTGGCGCTCGGACCTGGGGGTCACTGTGAGACTGGGATGAGGAGTTCTGGGGGTCTGACAGGTCAGGACCCCCAGATCACACCCTCCCGCAGCCTCGCTCGCCCCAGCCCTTGCAGTGGGATCTGCCCCACGGCACATTGGCTCCCTCTGGTCTCCAGGGGTCTTCCATCCTGACCAGGCTGTTCACTCCGGGTCCTACTGGTCCACGCTGTCGCCATGGCCAGCCGGAGGAGTGCAGTGACACCTGAAGACGCGCTAGGGCTGTGTGGCCACGGAACATGAGGCAGGAGGGCAGTTCCCTCCGCCACCCCAGCCAGCCCCAAGGGAAACTGAGGCACGGGGCAGAAACCTGCTGAACCCTCTCCCATCCCCTGTCCTCGGCTGGGAAAAGGGGGAAGGCTGCTGCCCTCGATGTGGGGCTGGGACTGCCCACACCGGCGCCAGCAGCTCCCCCAGCCCCCGGCATCCTCCAGCGTCTGCGCCTGCGCCCGCGCCGCTGCCGGTAACACCGTGCCCTGTTACCGTCAGCGCTCGGGCACCGAGCCAGGGCTCTCCCGCAGCTGCGCCAGCCCCGGGGGGCACCCGGCCTGCAGGGACACCCCCCGGGGCCCGCCCTGCTGCCCGGGGGTCGTTCCCACGCGCTGAGACCGCGGGCGGGTGTCGCTCGGGGCCCGGGGGCACCGTGCCAGCCAGCGGGGCCGGGGTGCGGGATCCGTAATTCAATGGGTGGCACGGCGCCAGGCTGCCAGCGCGGCCCGGAGCCCGGGCAGCCCGCGCCCCCCCGGACGCACACTTGGCTATTTTTAAAAGAGATCGGATCGACCTGTTTGGGCACTGAGCACTCTCCTGTGCCTCGCCGCAGACGACCCCGGCACTGAACCCCCTCCCCCCGGAGCTCCCCACAATTTGGCAGCAGGACCACCCCCATCCCACCTCCATCCCCCATCCCGGCCTCCCGGGGAGTAAAAGGCACAGGATCAGCGAAGCAGCGGGGGCATGGGGGAGCTTTACAGGCTTCGTTCTAGTGCAGTCGAGCCACTTGTTGGGTCCTGGATTTGGAGTGTCCCCAAAACAGCCCCTGTGGGGAGCGCGGCCCGTGAGCCCGGGGCTCCCTTCGCCATTTTAGCGCCAGCCGGCGCAGGCGGCCGTCACATGGCGGTGAGAGCAGCGCTTGGCCCGGCCGCCCGCGCCGAGCAGGCAGCCAGAAATCTGCTGGCGAGCTCGCCCGCCCAGCCTCGGGAGCGCCGGTGGTGCCGAGCCCGGCCCGGCCTCGCACCCAGCGCCTCCATCGGCCCGGCACGAGGGGCCGGGGAGGCGCCGGCCCTGCTGCCAGCCCTGCGAGCTCGGGAAAGTCCCGGCCGGGCTGGGCTGCGGCGGGGGGAGCGCAGCGCTC